TCACACATACTCACATGCAAGCAACACACACGCGCACACATACACACACACACACACACACACACACACACACACACACACACACACACACACTAACACATACTAACACACACATATACACACAAACACACACACACACACAAATATTCATTATATTCTGGAACAAAATAGACCTTTTCTGGTCTTCCAAGTTTAGTAAACTACACCAACCATTATTCTTAATATCATGTGTCACACGCTCCTATCATGAGACTTTGCACTGACTATGGGCATTCACCTTCAGTAAAAAAAAAAAATTTTCAAAAAAGAAAAGATAAACTATTCCTAAAGTCGGCACTGCTCTGTCACAATGAACTGTATAGTGCTTTGTTCAGTGCTGCTCCTGTCGGTTAACTTTGTGCCCTGGACTGCCACGGAATGCCCCAAACTGTCCCTAAGAATGATTTACTTTCGACGTATATTTTCTGCTAGAGGAATTCCGAAAAGTGACGTTTATTATCCACATCTATTTTCTGTTAGTAGTATTGTTTTGGTTTGGAGTTTTTTCTTTATTTTTCATTTGAGTAAAGAGAAGCACATCGACATAATAATGGTCATTTAGTGCTGAGAAAAAGTAACAAGTAAAAAGAGACAACAGAGGGAAAGTAAAGACGATGGGGCTTCTCACTTTTTGAAGAGTCACCACATGGGCGCTCTACTTTGTATGACCTTCCATGAAGGTGCATCAGGAAAATAAATACGGATTGAAATAAAAGCAAGGACATGATCAATAACAGATCTAATATTCTGCTCTCGGTGGGTTTCTTTCGTGTGTCTTCTAATGCTGCTTAATAATTATGATTGCTTTCGCTTTTTACCTAAGCGGGTGGTTGGGGGCGTCTCTAATAGGTGCTGCTTTTGCACTAACTGACTCTAATCGTGTCGATGTCGTGGGGGTTTTTTATTTTGCTCAAACTAAATTGCTCAAAGCGTTGAGAGTTGTTTTTATTATGTTCTGACTGCTTAAGCCTTCTGTCACTGGCTTTTACTTCTGGCCGAGCAAGAAAGAGGGAGCGAGAGAGAGAGAGAGAGAGAGAGAGAGAGCGGGGGGAGAGGGAGAGAGAAAGAGTGAGAGAGAAACTGAGCAGAGGGGAAAGTAGGTGTCGGTTTGTGGGTCTGTCTGTGTGAGTGTGTTAGAGTGTTTGTGCGCGCGTGCGTATGTGTGGTATAAATGCTGGGGGGGGGGGGGGGTTGAGAGAGAAACCACTTAAGACCTGAACGTCTTGAAAACGGAGCGGGGAACGAGAAACACAATGTCCAGGCACACAAAGAGAGCAGAAAACCTTCAAGATGCGGGACATAAATAGCCTGATGCACTGGCGTTGTGTACTCATTAGCTCTTATACTTTGCAGTGCTCATTTCCTGAGACGAACCTTGAGGCTTCTATTAATTCTTGTGTATTCTCTTAGCGCGGCACAATTAGCAGCTCTGAGTGTTTGGAAAGTAGCCGGTGAGCGGAGTGAGGAGTCGGCACGCGACGGTCGTACTTAATAAATGTTAGTACATTGTACTATGTGGTTTTGATTCTCATTCCAGTTGTCAAGACTAGATTGGCGCTCGTAAAGCTAAGGTCTGTATCCAATGATTTCATTTATATATTGTTATTTTTGCTTTGTGTTTATTGAAAAGTGTTAATATAAAAATTATAGACACCAATCAGGAGAACATACTATGAGAAATTAGAATAAATGATAGCTGAAAAATAATGTACGTGCAGTTTTTGTTGTAAAGAACATGAATTGGTTACGTATAGCACGCCTGTGGTTGCCGTAATCGATCAACTGAAAGTGAGCAATAAAACTTTGCATTTCTTGTAGCGCATAATTGTTCATTTAAAGAGAGGTTGGGAAGTTAGACTTCATCATCGAGAATCGACCAAAGGAGAACTCTCATAGGGCGAGCGCTGTGACAATACAATTGCCTACTTTTTGTTTGAGACTTGCTGTTATTTTTTTGGTGAATTCACACTGCAATAATTTAGTTCAGAGGTAACCTGTAGGCTACTTCAAATTTTCAACACATCTTAAATTAGTACGACCTCACAGTTAATTTTTTAAAAGCCGCCTCCCCTCAAATTCTGCATTGATGGGATGTTGCTTGCGCTCGTCAAGTGCAGAAATTCTAGAATCGGAATGGGACCCAGCTTACAAAAGCAAGAGAGTGCCATTTGCAACATATTACTTAAATAAGGGACGAAATAGAATAGGTGGTGAACAAAACATTTCAGCACATTTTTTAAACATGACATCAGATCATTGCACTCCGGATGAAAATATATCGCCATGCTTTTAAAATAAATACCCAAGTCATTTTTAGCTGTTTTGAGAACATGAGAAAAAAAAAAACACTTTCTTTCTAACAAGTACTCTGTGAAACGCTAGAATTTTCGTTCGCTCAGTCTATTTAATATTTGGATTTTTCCTTTGTCCAAGTGATCTAAATTACCAAGCTGAATCTGCTCTTCATTTCAGAACCAAAAATTCCAAACCGACCCGAAATGACTGGATAATTATCTTATGAGCGTAACGATAATAATATAGAGATCACGTTAAACAACAGTTTAATATTCGTTAGTATTATTCTTGAATTACTAGTTCTTTTCGTCCATTTCGTCTTGCACTGAAATATTAGACATCTGCATGTATAATATGTATGGAACTAAGAAGGGAAAAGAAGAGTGAAGCTAAAAGTTGTTAGTGAAGACTACTGTATCAAATTTTAGATTTTTGCTTTTTCAATCAATAAAAAAAATTTTGGTTTTTGTTTAGGTTTTTTTTAGGGGGGGGGCGCGGTTGGTTTCGTTTTTTATTTGTCGAAATCTGGCTGCCAATGGCGTGGCATAAGGCAACATTGACAGATATATATATATATATATATATATATATATATATATATATATATATATAGAGAGAGAGAGAGAGAGAGAGAGAGAGAGAGAGAGAGAGAGAGAGAGAGAGAGAGAGAGACAGAGAGAGATAGACAGAGACAAAGACAGAGACAGATAAAGAGGGTGAATGTTATTTAAGGCTTAAGGTTGACTACAAGCTTTTAAGGACAAGCGGGCTAACCTGGATTTCGGGGGTTTCCAGAAGTCTTGACCTACACCAAAAGTGGGCATTGCCCTACCCATAGGAGAAGTTTGGTTTCATTGGCGTAGATATTATTTCTTTGGTTATAGAAATGTTATCTTCAATTTTTTTCAGAACAGCATTTTTCGGGATAGCCCCCTTGTGCTTAAAAGTTACCATTCTTGTCGTACAAGCTGATGATGTATCATTTCCGCCCGTTTTCCGTTCTATTCACTTAATCTTTACCGTCGCCTTAGAGTCGAGAGGTTTCCACTCTGAAACAATCCTTTTTGTCTTATTTTAGGTTAAGAATAACTGTACACCCCTCCAATCCCCTATTCCCCACCACTCCCGAAAACGACGTATAACAAAACCTCCAACAAAACAAACAACTCCCTTCCCCAGAAAAAAAAGAGTAAAAAGTAAAAACGTTCACAACAACGAAGCCCAAATATGGAAATAAACAAATTAACTGACTAACTATCTAACTAAATAACAAATAACAAACATTAAAAAACAATAACCATCCTTTAAATATTTTTTCTTTTAGTCGCGATAAAGTCATTGTTAAGTTTAACGGTTAACTATAGCGATGTACGTATCAATATCAGCAGTGTGGGGAAAGTATATTCACAAAATATAGAAGTCATGGGACAGACAAACGAAAAAAAATTCAAGTTTGATAGAGGGACACATAGGGAGAGAGAGAGAGAGAGAGAGAGAGAGAGAGAGAGAGAGAGAGAGAGAGAGAGAGAGAGAGAGAGATAGAAAGAAAGAGAGAGAGAGTGAGAGAGAGAGATATATAGAAAGAGAGAGAGAGTGAGAGAGAGAGAGAGAGAGAGAGAGAGAGCGAGAGAGAGGGAGGGAGGAAGGAGGGAAGGAGGAAAAAATAGCATAACGTCGCAAACACTCAAAGTAACATCTTAGCGATAGGTAACATCTTAGCGATAGATCTTTATATTATGCACTGATGGGTAATATTATATCAAAATCTGAGTGGAAGAAGGCGTAGGAGAAGGACCTTATAAGCGTGAGAACTAGCTTCTGGACGCCTATGGTGTGGGAAGGAAAGGCAAGGGACAGACTGTGTAGTTTTGATGCTAAGTAGAGGCTTCCTGGCTTCTTCAAATGCTCGCCTTTCGGAGTGAACAAATCTGCCTCCAAAGCACATTGGTAGCTTAAGTTGTTAGCCTTGACGTTTGTTTATGATACTGCTGTTGATATTGTTAGTGTTGTTTGTGTCAATGTTGTTGTCCTTTTTAATGTTTTTGTCCTTTTGTTGTTGTTGTTGTTGCTGATGGTGGCGGTGGTGGTGGTATTGTTTTTGTTGTTGCTGTTGATGTTGTTGTTGTTAATGTTACGGCTACCATGGCCATTGCAGTTGCTATTGTAGTTGTGGTATCTGTTTTGTTTTGTTTGCTGCTGTTTATAATTTTAAATATTTGTTATTGATGTTGTCATCATCATCATCATCATCATCATCATCATCATCATCATCATCATCATCATCATCATCATCATCATCATCATCAACAGCAACAACAACCACAACAACAACAACAAACACAGCAAAAACAAAATCATCATTCTGTTGCTGGCATTGCTGCTGCTGTTGTTCTTGCAGATATCATTATTTTGTTATTATTTTTTCGTGTACCCTCGTCAAATACTATAATGATAATAATAATGCATCGACAAAGTGAGAAAAGCCTTTGCATCAGCTTATTAGTATTTTTCTTTTTTCTTCTTACTAAATATAACGTTTTGTTATAGAATCTTCCTAACCCATTTTGTCCTTTTCTTTTTTCTATCTCAGAAAGCAAGATGTCGAACATGTTGCTAGCCAGCAACTCAACAGCGGTTGGACTGACATCTCCCCACCTGTCAAACAACGACCAGCTTCTGCTGACCTGGAGAAAGGTCAAGGTCTTAGACCTCGTCCCGATCCTCGTCCTCGACTCCCTCTACATGTTTTTCGGGGTCATAGGTAACTCCGTCGTCTGCTACATCTGCTACTTCCGGATGCAGCGAAACGTCATCAACAACTTCGTCCTCTCTTTGGCTGGTATCGAGCTGTTCGGCTGCATCTTCACCATACCGGTCAGTATTACAGAGGTCGTGAACGCCTACTGGTTCGACTTTCCCAAACTGTGTAAAACTGAGAGATACTTCAGAAAGTTCGTGATATTTTCTTCGGCCTGTATATTGGTAGCCATTGCAGCCGAGAGGTATCTACGAATCGTGAAGCCGCACCGACCCCACGTGACCATACGGGGGTTCCAGAAGGCTTTGTGTGGCGCGCTAACCCTCTCGTTTATCATAGCCATACCGGAAGCGATTCTAGCCGGAAGCGAAACCGTCCGGACGCCGCACGGAAATGGGGTCGTGTGTTCTACGTACCACTCGGACCAGTTCAGGGGGACCATCTATCCACAGCTCTGGGCCTTTTTCGTCGTCCTTGTTTACATCGTCTCCACATCCACCATAGCAGCCATCTATTTCATCATCGCATCCAAAATCTGGACTCGTGGAAAAGTACCGACAGACGGAAGGTCAAGGCCAAACACTCCCGATTCCACACTGCAGCGTCGGGTCCGACCACGTAGAGCCAGCAGCAGCTTCAGTTGTCCCAAAATGCCGCTCAAAGAGAACGAATTCATCCGAGCATGTGTAAGCGCCAAGTCGAAATCTCGATGCAATAACAACATGGAGTTCTACACAGCGAAGACTTTGCCCTTGCGTCGACACAGCGAGGACGATATGCTGGAAACCAAACAGAAGAGAGGGATATCGTTCATCGAGGATATTTTCCACACCACTTCCAACAACCCGAATTTTGAACAGACAATAGAACGGGAGCAGTTCAGCCTTGACCTTCTCTCGCCTCACACCTTGTCGCCTGTGGGAAGTTTGAGGCGGAGGAGCGGGTATTCCCGAAAACGCACGACGTTCATCATGTTCGTGATGACGTTGACGACGGCTGTGAGTTACCTGCCTCACATAGTGGTCATGTTACACCGGCTCAACAACCCAGGCGTGGAGACCACTCTGTCCCCGGACATGTCCGTTTTCTTCTATTTCGCCTGGAACTCTTTCTTCATCAGCCTCTCCTGCCATCCGTTTGTCTACGGATTCTGGAACGGACGTTTCAAGCTAGCATTGGCCGGAGTCTGGCTAGGTTTCAAGCGCGGCAGGGGAGGAAAGGGAGATAGAGAAAGTAGCAGTACAAACCCAAGGAATAGTTAATAGCAAAACTACTTCCAAGAGCTTTACAGAAAACTCAAAACAGACTCACTCTACTAATACTATGTATTATGTGAATGATCTTGAGGCGTCCTGTCTACGAATTAAGGTACATTTGGTACCTCACGATTATACATACCGCTCACAACCATGCCGGAAGAGCATCTTACAGAGACATGCAAAATGCAACCCGGACAAACACAACGGAACGTGAGACACGCGAGTGAGGGAGGTGGATCTTCCATGATTTTTACAAGGTCGGGATCAATAACTAAGTCTGTTGACGCCATAGACTTGAATTATGATATCCTAGACCGTGCACTGACATGGCCGCCGCTTTTGCTCTCTATAAAAAAAGATCTAGACGAAGGGCAAGAGGGAAATGCGAAGCGTGCGACCTCGCATCGTGGGGACGCGAATGAAGAGTAAAACACCACAAGTCCTGCTGTAGTCGAGGGCACGCGGCGCATTTCACCCTTGTCCTTCGTCTAGCTCCAATTGAGTCAAATTATGGTGCACTCCATAGTGAACGGAAATGACGCTGGTGTGCACAATCTAGGACACCAGCATATTGTGTTTCTATGGTTGACGCAATTCTTTTCCATAGGCAGTGGCTTTACAAATAAGACGTAAATAATTATGTCGTCTCTTATTGAAAGACACGAAGCAAGCAAGGCCTTCCGTTTCGGTGCCCAAACTGTGTTTTCCTTGACTACGTCGTTTCAACTTACTACTATTGGTGTCACAGAGGACCCTTGTTCCTGGTGTTTGGTTTTTAGTAAGGTTTTACGGCGCTCAAAACTGTATAATGTCACAATATGGGCGCAAAGGGGTGGATGTCAACAGAGAAGTCCAAACGGGGAATCAGGCTTACCCTGCTCACCTCTCTCGCCTCAACAGCACAAAGTCTGCTTCGACTATTAAGGCACCCCGGAAATAGCAGTTAACAAAAGAGAGTGACAAACATACTAAAGAAGTTGAGGAAATGACGATAGCACGAGGAAAGAAAAAGCAGCAGTTCACCCTATGCTGCCTGTCAACCGTTCCTCAGTTCATCTTTACTCCCTTTACTGTATCCTTCGCTGGTACCAGTGGGTGTCACAGGGGAAAAAATTATTATTGTTTGTCAATTGTGAGTTGAATGCCTTGAACAAAGGTCAAGTCATAGGCTTTGAGGGTGTCCTTTACAGAGTCGATCCAGCTACGTTCAGTCCCATTGCAGTGATAAATAAATGCTTGCCTTCAAACTGACTTACTTTCAATGTGGTCGTATTATGCGTCATTGAAAAACCGATTTAAGTCCCTCGTGGCATTGAAGCAGGCGATTGAAACAACACGTCTGACTACAGATAGATTTGACCCCGGGACGTCCACAACAAGGTTAAAAAAATCCTTAGAATGATGACAGGTAGAATGCTTGGGTACAGCTGAATTCGCTATGGTGTATTGCTTACCATGCCGTTTGTTTGTTTGTCAGTTGCAATGAGATTGTTTTACCTTTCAGCCCCCCCCCCCCCCCTTACTTGCTTTGACACAATCTAGATCATTAGGAGTAGGAGGTGGGCTTCTATACTGCAGTCAGGGCTAACCCGTCGCCGATACCTACCTGAGTTTTACTTGATTACTTGATTCCAGAACTGGAGTCTTCAGGGACGGGCTCTATCCACAACTCCTCGCCCTTCCTCAGCAGGACTCGTCTTAAGTTATCCATACTGAGCAGATGGTCTTTACCAGTAACTGTCTTGTTGGGTATGATTTATCGTTTTGATTGTACATGCCTTACGCCCTCATAGACACACTCTGTTAAGGAGGTGGGATGCGTCCTTTCTGCTTGTGAGAGCCAACCATGTACGAGTGGGGTACAGCATCCTTTCAGACAGCCTGTGGTTCTGAATAAAATAGCTTACTTCCCCGCTCAGAATTCGAGCTTTATGTCCTTTATGTGCAACGGTGGATAGCCTAAATATTGCATCTCGGACGCCAGTTGCAGCAGTTTCATTCAAATTAGATTTTAAAGATGAGCAGAAGAGATTAGGCACAAAAATATCCCCTCGCAAAACATAAAAACATTGTAACTGAACAAAAAAAAGACAACCGAACAAAGGGACAAATCAAAGAATATATAATGTAGCAACGGCAAATGGGCACAGCGCAACTGCCAATTAAAATAGCATCACACAATTATGTAGGACTTGCTGTAGGCAGTGGGTGTTAACCTCTTTATAAACAGCGGCCATATCTGCCACCTATAATGAAAGAGCTAAAAGTTTAATACCCCCGTCTGCATGCAATTCCAAACGGAGCAATTCCAAATAATTGCTATCACTATCTGGGTGATACCTAACGCCCATCAAAATTACAAAATCACCCTGGAAAGGTAGACATCGCTCAAGTTGGCAGGCACTGATCTAAAGTAATTGCTGAACGCTATGAGAAAAGACTTTATCTTTAATTAATTACGCGTTAACTAACCTTTCTCTGTGATGAGATAACGTGAACAATGATTGAGGAATTAATTGAAATGGTGAAATGGTATTTGAGTTTAACACCCCTCTCAACACTACTAGGTTGTTTAAGAGGCGGGACCTCCTAGTTTAACGTCCGTCTCCGATAGGACCGAGCAAAGTGGGAAGTTCGTATAAAGTGTCTTTCCCAAGGACACGACGTCGGACCGAGCTGAGGCTCGAACCCCCGAGGAATTTATTGATTACCCTAGCATCAGTTATCTGTGTGGCGCGTTTAGTGGGTGATTAGAAGTTAGGAAGTTGGGCCCGCTACCGAAAGGTTGCGTGTTCGTACCACGTCAGATGCCCGACTTCGTGCTATTTGGGAAAAGCAATAAAGTTTTACACGAATCGTTCCTCCTTTCACGAAGTCGGGAATAAGTACCCGACTTTAAACGACGAAAGATCGTGTCACTTTGTAAAAGTTTGAGTGCTTCATTTGCTGCTTACAATATGAACTTTCAGAGTAGCCAAGAATAATAATTTATATTTTGAATGTTCTAAGGCTTGCTGGGGTGACGATAATAATAATAATAATAATAATAATAATAATAATAATAATAATAATAATAATAATAATAATAATAATATAGATTGTAAAGTACATAGAACTTGATGTTTAGCGGGTATATGTGCTATATCAATGCAGGTATTATTGTTTTTGTTGTTGTCAATGAATCTTAAAATCTAATAAATTATGACGAAATTTCTGTCATTTGGAACTATAAAACGTTAAACTCCCACTAATATATCCGTTTTGACAAGGTCGTTTGTCACCAAAGAACTTCCATTGATATGCATCACTGATTTTCGTATGTATTGGTGTGTGACCTCACACTGACGAAAGGCTGTTAAAACCTTATGCTTTACATACTTAATTGTTTGTGTTTAAGTGTGTATGTTTGTGTATGTGAGCATAATTATGTGTGTGCATGTGTCTGTATATTTCTGCACACATGGGGTGTAATATTTCCAGAGATGATGATGTTGAGTGTGTGTATGTGTGTGTGTGTGTGTGTGTGTGTGTGTGTGTGTGTGTGTGTGTGTGTGTGCGCGCGCGCGCGCGTGTGTTTGTGCTTATGACTGTGTGTGTGTGTGTTAGTATGTGTGTGTGTTTGTGTTCATGCATGTGTGTTAGTATGTAAGTTTTGTGTGTATGTGTGTTTCTGTGTGTGTATGTGTGTGTGTATGTGCGTGTGTGTGTTTGTGTTTATGTCTGTGTGTGTGTGTGTGTGTGTGTGTGTG